GAACACACCAGGCTTCCGAGATGCAGATCTCGCGTCGCGTGAAGCGCTCCATCGACAATTCCCCCATGGGTGCGCTAGGGGTGGGCTGGTGATGTCGTCACGAGTGACCCACGCTGCACATGTGAAGACTTAGGGGATTTCACAATGAACATGTCGAGAATCGGCCACGAACATTGGGAGTAAAAAGAAGTGAAGAAAATTAGGGTTTCACCAGAATGTCAGAATGACTTCCAGTCCAAACATGGAGGATTGATGTTAATTCTGGGGCTGGATCTTTTTGGATACCCTATTTTCAGTCAAACCCAAAGTTTTTTGAAGTAGAAGTCTTGCCAGATAATATGGATGAATAGCTTGGGAAAATTACAATTCCTGCACCTTGATGATAAAGTGAGTGATTTGATTCCCTGATCCAGGCTGCGAATTTTCACAACCGCTTAACGCATGGGATCCCCTTCTCACAGCCAAAAAAAGGGATTTGTGGATGCTCATCCACTTGAATGAAACCATATATGGATATCGTTTTCATGATCTGTTTCATAGCCATTGATCTGTTGTTCATCCATAGCTCCTCGCAGCTGGGCTCATATGAAAGAGGATCGGGAAGAGGATCGTCGCGCGCGATGGCAGGAGGCTGAAGCGGTCTTCAGGCCGGGCCTTAGGGAACAACAGAGACAAAAAACCAGGCTGTTTTTGCCAAAGGTTAATGATTTCTGGAAATTCTATGAATTTGAAATTTGTTGATCATTTATTTGATCCCCAATGACGAGCATATATTTTTGCGTTGAAACCACCGACCATAGAGGAAAAGAGAGCTGAGCAACTATATACATTCTCTGGCGTGGCCCCCAAAAAGAATAGACCCAGTACTAAATCAAAGGGTTATATATGTTTGATGTTATTCAGATTGAAATCACTTGCCCCAAAACCCCCCGTTCTCTGATATTAGGTGGAAAGGATTAGTTTTACAACACCCCAGTTTTGAAGGTTTCTGCAACCACCAAATGAAGGTTTCCAAAGTCATGGGGGCACCCCCAGTTCTCATCCGTTTTTATAGGATTTTCCGTGAAATAAACCATCCAGCTATTGGGATTACCCTCCTTTTAGGAAACCCCCAAATGATGAAGTGAGGTATGGATTATGATCCGGTTTAAACCCCCAATAGTTGTGGCTCTTCCTCACCACGGTCACCCCCGTTGGACTGAAGACTATGATCACGGCTTGTAGCCATCATGATATATGCTGTATCAACAAGAACTTACTGTAGATACATGGAAGTCTTTTGTATGTTGGAGAGGGGTAACATATATATATATATACATACATATATATATATATATACATATACATATATATATATACATATCATACATATACATACATATACATGCATATACATACATATACATACATATACATACATATACATACATATACATACATACATATATATATATACATACATATACATATACATATATATATACATATACATATATATATATATAGATATATACATACATACATACATGCATGCATACATACATACATACCTACATACATACCTACATACATACATATACATACATATACATACATATACATACATATACATACATATACATACATATACATATACATATACATATACATACATATACATACATATACATACATATACATACATATACATACATATACATACATATACATACATATACATACATATACATACATATACATACATCCCGGCGGGTTGTTTATCGAACCCGCGTTTTCAACATTTGCAGTGTTCGTCATTGATTTCATTCCACAAATCACAGTGGTTTTGCATCTCTTTCAAAGTTCAATTTCCTTAAAAAGTACGCGCGTACTTTTCACTGGATATGTAAAACGCCTCAGCGGCACTCTCTTTTTTTCTGCGCCAAGTGTTCTTCACAATTTCTGCAGTGAGCTTGGAGAGGTTTTTGTGGGAACTGTTTTCCCATCTCCACTGCCAAGCACGTACACTAGCGTAGCATCATATATGTGAGGAAATGCAAGACGACGTAGACTAGCGTAGCATATATGTGAGGAAGTGCAAGACGACGTACAATAACGTAGCATCATAGATGTGAGGAAGTGCAAGACGACATACAGTAGCGTTGCATCATGTATGTGAGGAAGTGCAAGACGACGTACACTAGGGTAGCATCATATATGTGAGGAAGTGCAAGACGACGTACAGTAGCGTAGCATCATGCATGTGAGGAAGTGCAAGACGACGTACAGCAGCGTTGCATCATATATGTGAGGAAGTGCAAGACGACGTACAATAACGTAGCATCATATATGTGAGGAAGTGCAAGACGACATACAGTGGAGTTGCATCATGTATGTGAGGAAGTGCAAAAAGACGTACAGCAGCGTTGCATCATATATGTGAGGAAGTGCAAATGAACGTTATTACCCCACCCCACCCCACCCCGTTAATCCCATGAAAGACATAGAAACATGCAAAACGCTGGTTCGGTTTTCAACCCGTAGGCACATACATATACATACATATACATACATATACATACATTCATACATACATACATACTTGCATACTTGCATACATGCATACATGCATACATGCATACATGCATACATGCATACAGGCATACATGCATACTTACATCTTGAAATATATATATATAATTATATTTCTACAATGCACATACATCATATGTAGGTATGCAATTATCCTGTCTTCACACATATTTCCCTGCAGGGAACTGCCCGGTGGTGGCCAAGGCGAGGGCTTCCAGCGATGAAACCCATGGGATTCAGGGATGGATTAACATCGAGTTGCTTATGGATGGTTCATGAATCCATTGGCTCGACATAGGGGTTGAAGCATATTAGGTGTTAATCCTAACATGGATACTGAACTTGTGGGAATGAACATCTACAAATGCCAGCGAAAGTTAAGGGTTCACGAGGGTACCAGAGGTTCTGACTTGTACCCAAATGATTCAAAGATCAAATGGCGAAATTTTTGCCGGAAAAAACTGGATTGACATATGAACAATCAGGACCACGAGAAAGAAGACGGGAATGAATGGCCAATAAATTCTGACGGATGCAATGGGTAATTGGGTTTGTCAGATTCTTTTAAAATATGAGCCAACAATAGTGATACAGAATATTCTTGTAGGCCACAAATGAGGACTTGTCCCAATTTATGGAAAGTTTGATGATCTTACCTCATGTTGGTAGATGAAATGCTTGTCTATGTCAATATCAAGGTTTTGATGTGAAAAGTCCAGATTTTGATTAGACTAGTTTTTGAATGATCACATCAAATGTGGACCATCAACATACTTTAACCATTGAACATTGACCAAATTGACCAGCAAAAACTCATCAAAAGTTGACAAATGAACATATCATTGTCCTCTAGCAATCAATCGTGGCACTGGGAACTCCACTAATGGAGGTTGATTTTGCTCGGAAAATCATCAAACTCAATGGCAATTTTTCCCAGCAAACCATGGAGCTGATTATCACCTGTATACTTATAACATTTGATATGTATATATATATACATATACATATATATATATATACACATATATGTACATATACATATATATATATATATGTACATATATACATATATATATATGTACATATACAGTATTACACATATATATATATACATATGATTCCTACATTGTGAGACCCCCCCGAGTTGTAGGTTGGTTTACAAATCCCAAACATTCTGCTGGCCTCGCAGGTCTCTCCATCCTGGGCCATGATGTCATGGAAGATTGGGAGGCAGGGGATTGTTTGCAGCGAAAATGGGATGGAGATGTTTTAGCATACAATGATGAGTATATGATGAGTATACCGGCTCGATGGCGTACCTGTTTGAACACAGAATTTTGGTCATTTTTTCACAAAAAATGGCTGAACATGTTTGAGCCAAAGCCTCATGTATGGGCCCTTTGGATTTTGGAGCTTTCAAAGATGTCTGAAAATTGGGGACCCCGGAAATTTGACGGTTTAACGATGGCCGCATTTTCAGTTGGCACGCGATGGGCTGCAGGGTTTTGTGGTTCTCCATGGTTGCAACATGTTGCAACCCTTGGCGACCTGATCTTCCTAATGGGTTGTATGTTGGTGCTATGGGTTACTAATCGATTGTGAAGGGGTAATGGAATGGAATAAATAATTATAGATATCCCATTTAGAGGATTCCATCAGTTTGCATTTTTGCAGCCCCATTCTCCGACAAGTCCATATTGGCTGCAAAACTTATCGTTTTTGCTGCTTAATCCGAACTTATGTAACTTATGATTACTATTTCATCATTGATCATGGCCACAGCCCATTAACAACCAGATAAACCCATACTGCCATAACCCCTTAGAAGACTACAGTAAATTGACAATCATAAATCACCCATCATATTGGCTTATACCAGTGATACCAATCATACCAGTCATACCAGTTATACCTCAATTATACTCATAAAACACCAGCAACATCCCCATGTCAATGGGAATTTCAGGATCCTAAAATGGAGGTACCTATCATAGAATTGGATTATGGGAAAATTTACAGGAAAGCCCTATATTTGATGGTAAAAACCATGGTTTCCTGTAAATTTTCCCTTAAACCAATCCAGTGAACCTACCATATATAAGGCCTATATACCATGGATGCCGCGGATTTTTGCTGTGACTCCCAGCAACGGTAGGCACCCTACATGGATGCCTTGGCCGCTGCGGCATGTCAGCAGGGTGGCCGCATCCTGGAGGCGAGGCTCGATGGGAGGATCTCCTTTTTGTTGCAGTGATGCAGGAACGTCGAAAACATACATATCATGATAGATATATCAGGCCAAAACACATACACATATACATACATATAGATACACATATACATACATATATATATATACATATATATGTATATATATATATCCCCATCAATCCTCCCATTAATAGTCCCATTAATAATCCCCATGTATATATATATATATAAATATGTGTGTGTCCTGTCTCACCCAATGCTTCCAGGTGGGCTTCGGCCTGGGCCTCTCGGCCGCGGCCATCCAGCGCCATGGGAGAAGCACCGGCGTCACGGAGCACGTGATCCTGGAGGCCAACGAGATGGTCATGGCCAAGGCGCTAAAAATCCATGGGAAGTGGTGGAAAACATGGTGAACTGATGGTGAAAACATGGCAAACATTGGAAAAAATGTGGAAACCATGGTGAAATGTGGTAAAACTTGTGGTAAAACATGGTGGAGACATAAGGGAAATACCTTGGGAATTGTTCCAGACATGATAAAAATGTGAGAATGGTGGAAAAATCGCCGGAAAAAATGCTGGAACAGTATGGAAACATGGGTGGAAACATGTGGGACAACCTGGGACAATGGTGGAAAATTCGGAAAACATCGGGGAAACCATCGGGAACATGGTGGAAAGACAAGAACACATCAGAGGAGTGCGGCCAAACATGACAGGTTGAGCATCCCATGGAGAAAGTCACTTGTTTTAGCTCACCCTGGTGTGAGTTATGTGACTTGAAGTCCCCGTTTCCTAGGGGTTATCCCATCTACAATGCTAGTTTAATGGTGGTTTAATCCCTATTCACCATTACACCACCATTGAAACCACTATTAAAAGCACCATAAAACCACCATTCAACTTATAACTGACAGCAGCAGTCATCAGCTTTTTCCAGAATCCAGGCTGGATTCTGGTCCGACGAAGCTCAGATTCCCACGGTGGTCCTGGGCGGCTTCTGGCAAGAGCTTGTGGAATCACTGGAAGATGGTCCCTAGGTCCAAATCCAGGCCGTTGGACCTGAAGGAATCCGTGAAATTTTGGTTCAGCCTGGTGAACAATGAAGAACTCCTATGAGATGGGAAAGTGCTTTGTATTTTTAATGGCTGGGGTTATAATGGGTATATCCTCAGAAATGGGTGGGTTATATGGGTGGGTTATATGCTAAGTAGTTCTATGGTTGGGGTGGGTGATGCTTGCCTCGTCAGCTATGGTGTATGTTTTCAAGTTGTCGGCGCATCGCAGTCTTGCGTTCTGTCTGAGACAGGAGACCAACAATCTGCTTTTGTGAAATCATCATGAGGTTTGTTTCATGATAGTCGACCCCCAAATCCAGTTGGTTATTATCATTTTCCCATGAAGAACAGGTATTTTTTGGGCACAGCCCCATTTCTGGATCCACAACAACTTGGGCTTCCAACTCTGGAAGTCGCCCCTGGCCATGTCTTGTCAAGTCTTTGGCAAGCTGAACATGAAAAATTCACCCACTCAGTTGCCTCAAAAAAACACTAGATATCAGTTGGGTAAGTTGGGTTGCAAAAAAATCATTTTGCATGAGCATTTCCCCTACTTTTGATAGTTCCCCACCTTCTTCCTCAACTTGTGCATATCACCATGAGATTATCTCATTTCGCGGGTTGAATGCTGCATTGCCAGTTTGAAATGGGCGCTTTCATTCATATCGTTGTATGATATTTGTTTCACACATTTCGAGTATTGTTCTACCCTACCTGATGATGATGATGATGATGATTATTATTATCGTCATCATTGTTATTTTCTATCAATGATCATGATTGATTATCATCATTATATATAATTGAATTAAATTACATACATATATGATATATATATATATGTATGATTTATGTATATAAACTGATGATTAGTGGTGATGACCACATTTTTCTGACTCTCCCAGGCACTTTCGATGGTATCCTCTTCGACGCCTACCCGCTGTCCCCCGGCGAGGCTGCCGGCGACGGCGAGGTGGGCGCCTTCTTCGTTGAAGCGGCGCGGCTCTTGCGGCCAGGCGGGAGATTTGGTACATGAAAATTTGAACCATGGATAGTTTGGATACCATTGTTTTGTATTGGGAATGATTGGGAATGGGTCTCAGCAATTTGGGAAAAACACCAAAATCATGCAAGTTGGTGATTTTTGAATGGGGAAACCGCTGGTTTGGGGTGCCACAATTGTGAGATACAAGCATTTCCGTTGAACATTGTTGGTTACGGCCCCACAGATCTCTTGAGATTTCAGGGTCCTACCCTCATTCCTGAACCATCTTGTTTCTACTGCATTTCTGTTGGTGAAAAGAAACGCTGACAAAAGCGATTTCGCCATTTCTGGACATGAAATCTATCATAGTCTTTCAATGCTGGTAGGTTTCCTAGGTTTCCTTCCTTAAAATCTCTGTGTTTTTCACACGCCAGGTGGCTGTTTCAGCTTCTACTACGACGCAGGGCGCAGCTGGTTGGAATCTGTACAGAGCTTCCGTTGTGAGACGGTGCCCAAGCTGCTGACAGCTGGATTTCGTGAGGTCAAGGACTGGGCCAGTTGGAGCTGCGAAGTGAGTTTCCCAACATGATGGATTTTTCTTGATGGAAAATGGAAGGCTAATTACTTCAGAATGGAACCTTTGAGATTGCTGAATTAGTGGTGATGATGGCGATGAAGATGAGGATGATGGACAAACTGAGTGTAAGTTGAATAAACAACAATTCATTTTGCATGATTGATGATGACACAATGACATCAACTTTTCTTGCACACCCTGCGAGGAAGATCAGGTCCTTTGCCGTCCTCGCCCCGGCTGCAGCTGCATGGATTCAAACCAGGATGGCTTTTTCGTTGAGGAAACTGGAGCAATGGCTCAGAATGAGGGATTTTACTCAATTTCATTGCTGTTTTCATGGGGGAAACGAGGTTCGGAAAACCCGGGGATGACATCCGAATTCGGCTGAGGTTACTTCTGGAAGGAACGCTTCCTGATTCCCATGGCCATCCGATGAGCTTCACCAAGTGCCGTCGCCTTTTGGTTCACCGCGAATCTTCCCGAAGAAGTTGGTGTTCGCCGATGAGTCTGGAAACTTCACATCCGATCATCCTGCAGGTGGTGGAGATGGCCGCGCTTGAGATATGGCGCTGAAAAGATGGAGACTTGCAAGGGGCTCAACTTGAGGTCCAACAACTTGGGAAGTAATTTTTGTAAATGCCAATTGAGGATCGGTTCTGGGAAGAGGATATGTGTTGGGGTCTCATCTTGTTGGGGTCTCATCTCAGACATAGTTCGCGGGATTTGAACCTCTCATTTGCATTGACTTTCGGAAATGGTGGTATGTTGCGGTGACATTTTTCAAGCTTCGGGACCAATGGTTGTGGTATGTTGCAGTCAGGGCCTGACTGCCCCATGGCCAGGCCTGTACCCAGTCTATGACCTGCCACGGCACATCGGCCTGCACTTCGTAGGGACCAAGGCCGCCAAATCACTTGGAAGATCTTGGAAGTGGATTCGCATTCCCAAAAAGTGACCGTTTCTTGCCGGGTATCTCAGGTTAACCATATGATGGTTGCTTCCCATCCCGATTTTTGACTCGTCTGACTTATATAGTCTTACCTTAAAGTTTTTCAAACAGATTTGTTTGAAAACAGGCTATCTAATTCCATCCCCATAGGGGGGATTGTGCCCCATTTTCAGACACACCTACTGCTGATACTCCCAGAATTGGTTGAACAATGTTGAACATTTACAGGACAAACTTGTCGTTTTTGTAAAGAAAACTCAGGATTTCCTGGATTTTTCCTCAAATGATGCCAATTTATCATGATTTTCTGTACCATCTGTACGGACGCGGCAGGTGCTCCAACCCTCCTCTCTGCGCTTTGCACTTGCTCAGGTGGGCGATTTCAGGTGATTTTTTGGGGGGTCCTGTCCGAATTTGTCCCCAAAATGGGGGAATTTGATCCGCCCAGGTGATGATGTGGTAGAAATCATGAAAGATCCAGTCTACTCGGCTCCACCATCATATCATGGGTTCTACCATTGTAAAACAGGGATTCAATATGACTATCATTGACTATCCATCATGCCATATGCAGAGATAGACACATAGAACTGAGTAAAGCGACTGGTGACCGGTGAAAACCTTTCATTTTTGCCTATTTTGCTGTGGGAATCTTTCATACCTTCCAAAAAGTGAACTGGTTGCAGTAGACATAGGCACTGCCCCATGGTTTTTGGGCTGAACCCGAGGAATTGGGGGCCGGTTTTTTTGATCCATGGAGCTCCGCAGGCATCTCAAGAGGTGAAATGGGCAGCCAGTGGCGATGGCTGCCTGCTCAGCACATGTGGTCTGACCGAGCTTTCTTTGTCGTCCAAGATGTCCAAGGTCGATCGAGGTTCGGAAAGGAAGATGAGGACAGCACTGATGTCGGTGGTATCATAAGGGTCAGGCTTTAGGAATCTCTGTCCATTTCAAAGATGCTTGTGATTGCCATCAGAAACTGGGTTTTTGGCATGTGCAAGCCTTCTAATGCTTGGCTGCAAATAGGCAGCATCTCCGATTTGCCGCTCAAGACGCACTATGCGTGCAGAAAAACTCCAACATGCCATGCCAAGTCAGTACATTCCTTTGAACAGAAGTATGCCTCACCCGATAAAATTGTTTGCATTTTTTGGTGTCAGAGTATATAGATACTTTTGAAACATCACACAAGTCCTTCCCAAACCCCTGGCCAAAGAATGGTCGGGAATCAAAAGGCGTGTTGATTGCCTTCCCCAAAACTTGGAGTCTGCAGAGTCCCTTCCCGACCAAGTGGACCAACCTCCAAAAACCCACCGATTTCACCTCAGTTTGGGCAACATTTGCCAAGCCTCTCCACCCCTCAGCATCCCCCCCAGTCCCTCAGCCCCCAGCCCCCAGCCACTTCAGCTTTCAGCTCCGCCATGAGCGACTTACTGGTGAAGCCACTTCCTGAGCGGGTGAAGAGATTGGAGAAGGCTGGGAAGGGAAAATTCATCCCCCGTTAAACATGGTGTAATAGGTTTTGATCCATATATATATATATATATACACATACACACATACACACATACACACATACACACATACAAACATACAAACATACAAACATACAAACATACACACATACAAACATACAACCATACAACCATACAACCATACAAACATACAAACATACAAACATACAAACATACAAACATACAAACATACAAACATACAAACATGCAAACATGCAAACATGCAAACATGCAAACATGCAAACATGCAAACATGCAAACATGCAAACATGCATACATACATACATACATACAGACAGACAGACAGACAGACAGACAGACATACAGACATACAGACCTACAGACCTACAGACCTACAGACCTACCTACCTACATACCTACATACCTACATACCTACATACCTACATACCTACATACCTACATACCTACATACCTACATACACACATACAGACATACAGACATACAGACATACAGACATACCTACCTACCTACCTACATACATACATACATAAATACATACATACATACATACAGACAGACAGACAGACATACATACATACACATAGACAGACAGACAGACAGACAGACAGACAGACGGACAGACAGACAGACAGACAGACAGACAGACAGACCGACAGACCGACAGACCGACAGACCGACAGACCGACAGACCGACAGACAGACAGACCGACCGACCGACCGACAGACAGACAGACAGACAGACATACACATATACAGACAGACAGACAGACAGACAGACAGACCGACGGACCGACGGACCGACGGACCGACGGACCGACGGACCGACGGACCGACGGACCGACGGACCGACGGACCGACGGACCGACGGACCGACGGACCGAACCACAGACCGACAGACCGACAGACCGACAGACCGACAGACCGACAGACCGACAGACAGACAGACAGACAGACAGACACAGAGACAGACAGACAGACAGACAGACACAGACAGACACAGACAGACACAGACAGACACAGACAGACAGACAGACAGACAGACATACAGACAGACAGACATACATACATACATGCAGACAGACAGACAGACCGACAAACAGACAGACAGACAGACAGACATACATACAGACATACATACATACATACAGACAGACAGACATACATACATACAGACAGACAGACAGACATACAGACAGACAGACAGACAGACAGACCGACAAACAGACAGACAGACAGACAGACATACATACAGACAAACAGACATACATACAGACAGACAGACATACATACATACAGACAGACAGACATACAGACAGACAGACAGATAGACATACATACATACATACAGACAGACAGACATACATACAGACAGACAGACATACATACATACAGACAGACATACATACAGACAGACAGACATACATACATACAGACAGACATACATACATACAGACAGACATACATACATACATACAGACAGACAGACATACAGACATACATACAGACAGACAGACAGACCGACAAACAGACAGACAGACAGACAGACAGACAGAGATACATACAGACAGACAGACAGACATACATACAGACAGACAGACAGACATACATACAGACATACAGACAGACAGACAGACAGACATACATACAGACAGACAGACATACATACATACAGACAGACATACATACAGACAGACAGACAGGCAGACATACATACAGACAGACATACAGACAGACATACATACAGACAGACAGACATACAGACAGACAGACATACATACATACAGACAGACATACATACATACAGACAGACATACATACAGACAGACATACATACATACAGACAGACAGACATACATACAGACAGACATACATACAGACAGACAGACATACATACAGACAGACAGACATACATACAGACAGACAGACATACATACAGACAGACATACATACAGACAGACATACATACATACAGACAGACAGACATACATACATACAGACAGACAGACATACATACATACAGACAGACAGACATACATACAGACAGACATACATACATACATACAGACAGACATACATACATACATATGTCTGTATGTATATGTATAACCCTCTGGAGATCAAACATGGCTTGCTGGAACATCCACCATTTAGTTCCATGATTTTCCAAACCAGAAACCTCGAGTTAGTTCAGGGATTTCCCACCAGCCACGCTTGATGACACCGGAGGGTGCACATGTGGAAGACCCATGGTTTCCCGTTCGGAACATCTTGGGCTCGGACACAGCTCATTTCCACAGGCAAGAGACTCCATGCGACCACTTCTGGATGCTGGGACTCCATTGGCAAGTTGCGATCTGGGGCCGGGTGTGGCTGAGTGATCATTCTAGGGGTATTCTCCAAATTTATTTATTTTTATTTTTAGTGAGGACAAGGGAAGTTCGAAACTTTGTAAGCCATTGGTTTTTGAACTTTTTCCCTCAAACAAAATCTGGCAACCACCAATTTCTGGGGATTCCAGTATCTATATATATATATATAGATAGATGGGTTATGGTTTGGAATCTCTTGCATATCATATATGTATATATTGGGATACAGCATTGTCAATTCCTCAGGTTCGAATCCACCCTTGCCATTCCGCATCCCCGACGACAGCGCGACATCGGTCGCTCTGTCGCCGAGGAAAACAGTTGTCTATTTGCAAACAACTGTGAGACCGTCAGGAGCTCAGGATGACGCTGTGATCGTCGATTGAAGGTGACAGCTTTCTATGGAAGATACTGATTAGGATTTTCCTGGGCAAAAATGGCTGGAACTAGTCTTATTCATTTCCAATCTTTTTTTTCGGACTCTGTAGGCAGTTCAGTCAGAGAAAATTCCCACTGATTTTTTTTTGGGGGAGTTTGGTATTCCTATTATGAAAACTTTTGGGACTTTCCCCATTTGTTTCAGTTGAAACCTCAAATTGGAGCCGGGGTGACGAAATGTCCCCCTTTAGTCGCGCTACGAATCGTTTGGCCGAGGTCTTTCGGGAGTTTCGCATCTCCTGCGTTCACCTTCGGAGAGAAAGGGAGGCCTTAGACGCCTTAGAGGGGAAGGAGGTCGGCTGGCGATTCCTCTGCAAACTCTGTCGCGAGAGGTGGGAAAAACCTGGGGATGCAGGGTTTTCCGGAGATGGCAGGGGAGATGTGGGACATTTTTGGTTGGATGTATCATGAAATACCGCTATTAAAGAGATGATTTTTAGACATAATGAAGACATTTTTGGACTTGAATCACAAAGAATTATTTGGGCCTATGGGGTGCTTCAGAAAGAAATTTGCACAATTCAAGGCCTGGCAGACATGTATGATATGTATAATGGTGTATTTATATGCATATCTGTAGATAGGGAAGGCTAGCTGGCTTGGAGTTGCCAGCTGTGAGGCCATTTCTCTACGACCGAGTACACGAGGTGCTGCAGATTCTGATGATGCTCGGTGGAATTTTGGGGGTTCCAGTTGAGGATCCAAAAAAGAGAGAAAGGTACGAAACAGCACCCAGATAGAGTAGGCTCCCTCAATTTTGCGCGCGTTTTTTCTTTGTGACCCCTAGATACCAGACTTGGTTTTATCGGGAAAAAATGTAGGACGCCAAAATGCTGCAAAGCCCAGAGGCTTCAGATTTTCTAGATCAGGTGGTTGACCACGATATCCATATCACATTCCAGTGATATGTGAGATATGCACCAGTTATGAACCTGGATGATCACCATTTAGGATTAAGTTGGGTCCTTGGGTCCTTCAGTCCCTGTGGTGAAGCATGCTGCGATCTCCGAGGATGAGTGATGTGTGGATGAAGGCATTTGCTGAGGCACTGATCCATGGTGATCCATGCTTCAAGTCCAATAAGAAGGGTGGAATTTGGTGGATCCGTTTCAGGATGTCACCACACAAATCAGTCCATTGTTGGTATATTATATACCCAGATTGATGGTTCTATTTTATATGTGTATATATATATATACATATACATATATATAATATATATATATGTATAATATAGTGACATAGTGTATAGTATAGATTTCCATTGTTTAGAGTGGATTTACATATATTTACTATTTTGCTTGGTATGTAACATTGGGGTTGGATTTATCCCTGGAAAAAACCCCAGCCCTCTCCAGCCAATGTTTCCCGCCAGGACCCCGAGTGTCGGATTGAAGATTTGCCTCCAGAGATCCAGAGTGAAATCAAAAGACGCGCCGAACAGGCGGGACTTCACCATGAATTTCATCATGAAACTGGGGATACCCTCTGGTAAACTAACATAGCTATGGAAAATCACCATCTTTAATAGGTAAATCAACTATAAATGGGCCATGTTCAATAGCTATGTTAAATTACTAGAGGGATACCAGTCATCAAAAACCAATGAAACATATGAAAAGTCATTTTTTAAATGGCTGGGATCGAAGGTGCAGGGAAACCATGGAAACTGGGGATACCAGTCCAACAACCAAAGTATCTATGGCTTTGCACAAAATTCCGAGGGATTTCAACAACAGTAGGAGGTATCTCATAGCAGAAACGTCTGGGCATCTCCTTGTGACAGCGATGATCCAATGGTACCATTGTCGGTAAACTTGCGAACTGGAATTCAATGGCCATTGGGCCATTGAGTTAGTTGATGTACAGTTGATGTACCCATCCAAAAATGCTGATTTTTCCCGAGTTTTTTGGTGGAAACCGTTGGATCCTTTTCGGGTACCCCTTAAAACGGTTGATCCTCCCGTTGATCCGGTTACGTCGCAGGCGTTGGATCCAGCGTCCAAGGCGGATGGCTACCCGGCTGCTCATAGCTCGCACCAGGACAACGTTCGATGTGGAAAGTCATGTTTTTTTTTTGGCATTTTCCGTTATCGATTTATGGTTTTTTGATTTATTTATTTTTATTCTTATATTTTACATTTTGATTTTGTTAGTTGTTTATGTTGTTTAATTTTATGAGAACAATATCTATGTCAAAATTTCTGGAGGCCATACACATAAACTGCTATTAGGCGATTTGGGGTGCAACATGCCAACCGCTTCATGTGGGGATATCTTGATGTACATCTAAATGATATTTGGATATGACACATCAAATCCAAATGATGGATTTAACCAACAGAAAAAGGAGGTCTGAAACCAGCCATAGTTGGGATAGAATGGGATATAGTGGGACATTTTGGTTTTGGCCCAAACTTGGGTATACAGAAAATGGTAATGTCAATAGGGAAAATAATGATAAAGAACAATGAGCCCATGAAAATTTGATGGGTATACCACGTTTTCAGTCAACCAATTTGGAAGTGCAACTACCGATCAGTTTCAAACCATTGCATAGTATGCTCTTGATTTGAAGCACCAGACGAGCCTCATTGACGGCCATTGACAAAATTGTGTGAATTTGAATTCAGTGCAACATCCGTGAGACCTATCTTAAATCCCCAACTAACATAAAACCCTGCCAGCTAGGGGCTAGGAAGACTACTTCTAAGCCACAAAAAATAGGGTCGAACTGTGTTGGGGAGATCAGAATCATCGACACATGTCCATGCTATTTCCATGATATTTCCATGCTATTTTCATGATGTTTCCAAGGCGATACATCACCAGCCAATTGTTTAAAGCCACATTCCAGGCCCCTTTTCTTTCAGCCATCCCGATGAGTCAGGAGTTCAAGGCCAGTGGCACCATCGCTGTGGTGGTGCAGCGCTTTGTGAAAGCCAAGTTGCTGCTGAATGAAGCGTCGGACTCGTGGGTGCGCCGAGGAAGGGAAGTTGGGACTTGGCAAGTGAACTTGGAGCCATGAAATCTATGGGGAATAGAATTCACATGGTCAACTTAGAAATGGGTATGGGTCAATACCTATAGATACATTTTTAGTGGGATGAACATCCATTTACCAGCTATTTTGGGGTTCACTAGGTACCAGGGTTTTGACCCATCCCCAAATGATTTTCTGGTCACATCCAAGTTCTTTTGTGTTTTGGGGGAATGGGGTGATCATTTCTGTGGAGCCGTTGCGGTGGGATCGATTCTGGGGCGCACTAATTTTTTCCGGACGGATGGAGTCTTGATCTTTGTGTCATAGCCATGTCTATTTGGGAAGCGCACTGCAACCGCCAGAAAATTGGACAACCCCATGTTTCTTTTCATGAAAACAGCTGGGTTTTCCGGTTTTCCCATCTGCTCCCCATTTTGGACGGCCGCGGTGTAGGCGGAGCTTGGCCGGGGCCTCTTTGTGGCAGTGTCCTTTACCAAAAGTGCCACGGAGGACAAGCTGCAGCCCGCTGCGAGGTACGGGTCCGGGAAATGGGCTATGCAATGGTATGGTGTGTTGTGCTAGGGTATGGTATGTGTATGGTTACTGTATCATATTGTATGAGACTGTATGATGCTGTATGCTACTGTGTATATATATATATATCTAACAGTTGTAACCTTCGGCAAGTGTAGCATATATCGCGAATCGTCGATGTTAAGATGTCTGCCTGCGAGGTTTCTTCTGACAGCCAAGCTCTCCAGAGGATCCACTGAGGAGGTGACCTTTTTGAGCCGTTTTTTTTTGCCGCGAAAGATGATGATTTTCCAATAGCTGCAAGAAATGATCAGAAGCTATAGCAGCTATACATAGCTATACTGTATCGTGGTGTGTAAGACTCTGGCAGAATTTCCGGTCATTGATCACAAATCTTGCGGTTATTGCCGAGTTTCGCTGGTTTACTACCTAAGTATTACTGCTTGTGATTTCCTGGCTGTACCTCCAAGTATACCCACATGGGTTTGTCTATGCTCAGGTTCAGACTATCATATAATCTTGTTGGATACATAGAAGTATCCCACAATATCATGTAATATCCCTATTATATCCCCGTAATAGTGCAGAATTATCCCCATAATTATATCATCATCATCCTAATGCGAGGATATATATATACATCTATACACATGTATGTATATATATATATACATACATATACTTATACACACACATATATATATACACTTATACATATACATACATATATATATACACATACATATACATACATATATATATATACATACTTATACATATATATATCCCCATCAATCCTCCCATTAATAATCCCACACTCATGACAATTTTGATACAACAACCTGAAGCTCATGTCGGAACCTCCCTGTAGGCGGAGTCGCTATTGTCCTTGTGCCAGCGTGGGGAGTGCCAGGGCATTCTCCTTCTTCCACAGGTAGGGCTGACTGGTGGAGTGGCGTGTGTATTTTATTATGGGTTTGCGGACGATGTATGGGTTTTATCATCCTTGTAAATCACGTTGGAAGTTCTTGTTGAGTTACTATAGTGCATAGATCACATTTGTATGGCCGGCGACATCGCCAGCTGCTTCCATCGCAGGCATCTTTGGTGTCTGACTTAAAGGTGGGGTGGTGCTGCGGTGCTAAAGTCATGGGAACAGCTTCCTGTTGAAAGATGCCCCAAAAAGACATAGACTTTGATGTTTTGAGACCTTGAGTTCAACTTGATGGCTACAGGCTACAGGTATGTTTACCAAGTCTTAAAAAAACGGCTCTGGCGTCAAAACCCATTCCTGCAGCTCGTTTTTATCCATAAACGGGCACTCTCGACCTGTGCTCTGTGCGCCGTCACAGGACGTGGATGTGAGGCGACGCTGACCGGCTGTTGTGAAAACTTGATGCAGTTGACATTTTGATGTGTTTTATGCGTTGCACATCTAGAGATCCCCAGCAGTATCAAACAGTTTCAGAATCCCTCACAGAGATGTTCATTTTTTTGGAGACGTGAAGCCTTCATGGTCAAAAAATCTGGGTACCCCTTGCCAGGTAGGTTACCCTCTGGTAAACTACTTGTGCTTTTCTTTGCTAATGGGGAAATGGCTATAGGGTCTATGGCAGACATGTCGAAGTATTTCTTAGGGTTTAAATCAACCAACTTAGCACACGAACTGGGACACCACCTCGTAGATGTCTTTTGCAGAGTGATTTCAGCATTTCTCCGCAGATACTCTCACCAACTGGTGAAAAGCCGGGCCCACGTCCTGTACGACTCCTTCATCCAGGTGCTGTTTCATCTGGTCACAGCCATATTTCGGAGGTTTCCTAACATCGGGGATCCCCAGTCACCATGGGATTCAATACCAAGTCATGGTCATCCATGACTTGGATGATTTGGGGGTAGCCCCATGTCTTTGGAAACCTCCAGCTGTTTTGGTTGCCTTGGGGATTGGCCAAGCGTCGCTGTGTCAGACCTTGCACGCCACTGCAGCGGACCTGATGAACGAGGCCAAGGACACAGTGGCGCAGCAGGGGTCACCAAACGGGACGAAAACTAATCAAATCTGGGGACACTAAAGAAACTAATGGTTGCTAAATCTGGCATACAAGCCCTAAGAAAGGGATGGACGCGGATGTAAACATCCGAAAGAAACATGATCACAGGAGGTGGTCACATCGGCTGAGAAAAGGTGGGGCGGCATACGCCAACGATCCCATGGTTTGAGGAATTCCTTGTATCCCAAGTCAAAACTGTTGGGGTCATTTTTGGTAATCAACCCATTTGCTTGAGCTAGCCACTTTTCTGAATTATCCTGTTTTTTTTATTCATTTTTTCGCTGCTTTGAAGGACAATCTCCAGATTGTGGCAGGCAATTCTTTTGGGGCTGGGAAGGTATAGTGACAGCCGATTGATCTGAAGCTACAGTTCCTTCTTTGGAAGCAAGTCGAGTTGCCGCTCAGTCGAGTTTCTCAGCCTCTCAGTAAGCTTCTTGGAAGTGGAATGGCTGACCATGGGGCGATTGATTCTCCAGAATGTCAATGCATTGGTTTAAGGGAAAATCTTAACGGGAAACCATAGATTTTCCCATTAAATGTGCGGCTTTCCTGTAACAATTCCCTTAAACGAATCCTTTCAGAATGGGCTCATATTGATTGCCCATGTTCTTGTGATTTGTGAAACATTCTCCAGGTCCAGATCATATTCTTCATTGATTCTTGTGACTTATGCTTCATCAAAAAAATGGATCTATTCTTCCAGTGAAAATAGAACAGTTTCTTATGACTCATCTTATATCTTATAAGATGAATCATATATATATAGTATACATATGTATATGATTATTACTATGATGTATATATATATATTTACCATTATAGTGATTGCTCACGTTCTTCTTGGGTCAAAGAATGTGTGTTTCGCGTTTTGTGGCAGCCAGGCGACTTCGATGGCCCTCAGGTGCTGGAAATGTCCTCAGCTGGGCCCTTCATGCACTCCTTCTCCGTTTGAGACCAGAGACCAGCTCGTTGAGAAGACCGGCGTTCTTCATTTGTTAAGAAACCCCCCAGTTCTAATGGGTGAGTATGGTGATTCAGCAAAAATTGTGATTTCATGGGATTTCATCGGCCAAGTTGGTTTAGTTCACTAGGTGATTCCTATGGTTTATGGCAGATATATCGAACTAGTTAATGGATTTATAAACCAACATTCACATCGGGTTTCCTACAAGGTGAGGCCTCCCCAGTGAAATGTTGCTTTATTCAATATTCATAGCCTATACATCATGTTACATCCATAAACCCAAACGTTAACCAAGTTTGTTGGTTTGTTGGCCAAGCATGCCCTGAATTCCTGAATTTTGATGGCATGGGATCGCTCCCGTCCAAAAATGCCGGGCTTCTCAGCCCGCCGCGGTGCTGCGGCGTGTACAGAAAAAGGCGATGGGGCGTAGAGCGTTTCATGGCTTCACTTTTAGTCTAAATGGGGTTGTAAACGTAATCTTTAATGCCGTGCCCACATATATATATATATATATGCACTTCTAAGTTCGATGGTGAAATGCATGTTCCTTGCCGCTCAAGACAAATGCATGTAGAATTAGCTGATAGGGTTTGGAAGTGGCTGGCCTTCGCTAACGAGTTCTCCCGTTTTGCTTCTTGCCCTTTTCACTGTCATCCCTCCTGCATTGCCTGGTTGGTCTTTGGACTTTGCTTCGGATTTTCCATTGGTTTGGTTGTTTCCGGACTTTTGCTTGCCCTTTGGATTTTCCGCGTTCCCCTTTGCCATTTCCTGTTTCCAGCTCCTGCTGCTCCAAGAAACAGGCTGGCACAATATCTTGAATGAGCTTCCCCTTTACCTCCAGTGAGCTTCGTGATCTCATTGAAAGGCTTGAAAGATTGGAAGATTGGCAGAAGAAGGAGGAATCCTCCAGCTCGTCTCAAGGGGCAGGAAAAGGATATCGTAGAGGTGATCCAAAGGCCCGTGCTGCAGCTGCGGGTACTTCCATTCCTAAAGCTTCCTTCCCGGGCATTCCTCAGATCGCCCGTCTGTGGACTTTGGAAAAGGAAGCAGGACCAGAATTTGTTGGCCCAGAATTCCGAACTCTTGATCAGGGTCCAGGACCTGTCCCGGCAATTGTAGAAGAGCAGGCGGCCTTTGTTGCCTGGGATCAGACCGAAGCCTTGAATCGTGTCCACCTTGCGTTCTCAGCAGGCTTTTGGGCCAGACTTGCATTGGAGACTTTCACAGACCAAATTGCCCCTGCGGTGATTTCAGAGAAAAGTTCTCACTTCATTGTTCTCCGTGCTTGCGGGCTCGGCGGTGTTGTTCGATTTGATTCTGAGGCTGATTTCAATCATTTCCGTCAACAGGTCTTTGCTGGAGGGTGTGTATTTCACGGCTTTGAAACGGAGACGGAACTGGAAGTCTTTTGCCAAGGAGCACACATATCGCAGTTCCCCCGCTCTTCCGCCGTACAAAATGCTGAGGAAGGAGAATGTGAGGCCTGCAAGTAAAGGTGAACCTACCTTGCTTGTGCTTACTGTACCTGCTGTTGCCTCTTCAGTAGGGATGAAGTAGACGTGTATGCACTGCCTCTGGAATTTAGACAGGGAGGTTTACTTTTAGCCCTCCCACATGACAGCCTTTCCGCACAGACCCTCTCAGATGGTCAAACAGGATCTGATGAGCATCCGTTTGGTCCGAATTCAATTTTTTCTGCAGAGCTTCTAGAAGAAGCAGATGATGTTCCGACGCCAGTTGCCGTGCCTCTCGGAATTGAGGCTCAGGTGCTTGTAGTTGATGTACCTGATGACATTTTGTCGAAATGTAGAGAGTATGATCCAGTCACAGACTCCCTTGCAACGATCCTTGGTTTTTCAAATGAACATCCTTCCAGTTTGCCTGATGTATCAGTGCTTTTGGCCCATGTCAGTGAGTGGCTCCTTTTGAGATCTGATGACAGGACGGGTTTTTACTCCGCCCAAGAAGATCAGGAAACAAGCCCTCCAAAAGCTGTTACAGCCCCCAAGAAAGCCACGGCCAAGAAAATATCGAATGCTATGATAGCCGATCAGTTGACGGCAGTGGTTGCCCAACTCCAGCTGATCACTCAACGTCAGGATCGCTTGGAACAAATGGCAAGCTCTTCCGCCGCCGATGTGCCAGGACAGTATGTTGGGCCGGTTTCCAAATTGCCGGCTGTGTCAGCGGGCTTGCCAAATCCCAGTGGCGTATCGCAGACTACTGGAGCAAAAGCACTGAGCCTAATAGGACCTCCTCCCAAGACGCGGAATGTGGTTGGGACCCAAAATGCGGCTGCTGTCGAAGGAGACGAGCCATACGATGCATTGCAGCCCCAAGAAGGTACAGATGGAATGCTTGTTGCGCTGACCAATCAGAGCACAGCGCTGACAGCCTTGGTGGCTCACCTGACAGCACAGTCAGGAGATGTCTTAGGAGATCTTACTACACCAGGGCAGGTTGGGAGTTCAACCAAAGGCGTTCAACGCAGGGAGAAAATGCAGAACGATCTAGCATGTGGAAATAGCCAGTATTTCTTGCAGATGATGCAGCAGTTGCACCGCAGACTTCATCCCTCCAAGCCTGTTCCCCAAACAGAGGAAAACCTGAAATCCTTGTCTGTGTTGCAATACCTTGAAAGACAAGGAGGTTACAAGAACAATCGGGAACTAGGCCTAGTTGCTTGGGTATTAGGTCATGCAATAGATGCTGCATCAGCAGGAGATTTTCATATGACAAAGGAACTGCTCGCCTTGCTGATGGTTTCAGTCGAGCAGGCCGTAACCGACAGAGGAGACTGGACACTGGCCTTCATGCTTACCCTGATGGAAGAACCGCCGATCCAGGTTTTCCAAGATAGGACTGCCAGCATAGCTCACCATGCAAGGCCTTTTGGCCCCCTAGTTCCACCGCCGTGGACAGCAGTTTGCCTGGCTTATCTAAAAGATATGGAAGTCCTTTCTACGAAGAAGGGAGAAACAGCAAAACGCATTGCAAAGGCGCCCTCTCAAACCGAAGGCAGCCCAAGCGCAGCAGCTGTCGAACCAGATCGTGAAGCATCCCCAAAAAGGAAGCCGAGGTATCCTCACAAGCCAAAAGCAAAGGCCGCCCCAGAGGCCTGAGAGATGAGAAGCCTACGCAGAAGTTCATAGGGTGCAAAGTTGCCTTTGGACAAACAGCTTAACTAATTAATGACTTGAGTTAACCATAAAACTTTTGACTCTGTTTGCATGAAATGTAGGTCATGTCCTTGCCGATGCCTATCCGAGGTTGACCTCCTTTGAAGTGCACGCCCTGAAGTGTACAGGAATTCATAGGAGCCCTGTGAACACCATGTCCTTTACTAATTGGTGCTCATTTTTGGCCTTTTCAGTATTGAGGACTCGCTCCTCTTTCTAGCGTTCCATCATGCCACTTTGCATCTGCAACGAAGCACTATGACTTCGTCATCGCCGGCATTCCCTTGCCTGTCCCCTTTGTGGAGTGTTCGCAAGGATGCCTCCAGGTCTTTCCTCTTCCAAAAGGGGGATCGTTGCTATCATTGACGAGCTTTGCACGTTGTGGTGATGGCCCTTGACTATTGGTAGAGTGGAAGCTGTTCTATCCATTTAGAGCATCTGGAGAGGGCAACATCAGCAAGCCTTTTGCGAATTCTTCGCAGGCTTACTGGCCTCTTGCTGGCTGACGGCCCTACTGAGCCTTTAGGTTTTGCGCAGTGGTCGACGTTTTCACCAACAGATAGCCCGACTTTCGAGCTGTCTGGAATTTTGACAAATTAGGCGCTGGAGCAGGTTCCTATGGGAAGACTTACCCAGGTCATGATGTGCCTCGTGACAACAGCTTGTTGATCGAACCGAGCCTTACAGTACGCTTGATGCTAGCCTTTTGAAGGTGGGTAGTCGTGGCCTTTTTGACGCTATTAGTTTCCTTTGCACTGAATTTTGCATGGCCTATAGGTATCCTGACTCCTTGCAGCTTGACCGAACTCCTAGTGCCTCCGAATATCCTTGTGGATGGATCCGCGAGATGAGGTCTCTCCGCTGGCAAAGCTATGGGATGCACGAGGGTCACTACATATACATGAAACTGACTTTTGGAGGGAAAAGTGCTTTGAGCTTGCCCTGGTTTTCAACTACTTTAAGAACCTAGAGTGCGACAGACAGATTGGCGATAGAAGAGGCCGCAATTCTGTAGAAGGTAGGGTGTCTGGACCTTCCAAAGCCTGCCTTCAGGCCCAGACTTCCTAGGCCTGTTCGTAAATGCACGTGAAGAGACACTCTCCATATCCTATACAAATTGATGCGACCTCTACCATCAGTTTTGGTGCACTCCGATTAGGATCAGATAGAACATGGTTGGACCTGGGATTCCCTTTGGCTTCATGAAGACACCTAAGCTTGACCTCTTTTGAATGTGCCAAGCCAGCTGCTAAAAAGAGCCGTATTGTTGGAGGGGACCGCCCTGGTCCTTTCCTGCAGACAGTCATTCCCCGCTTGCCTGTAGTTTTCTGTAAGGTGGGCTTGGTAGTCTAAATCAGGGAGACCATGCCGGTTTTGAAATTGCAACCAGAGTACATGAGCAGCTTTTGCAGTCAGTAGGCTTCCGAACTGAAACCTCCAGAGTTTTGTATTACCGTCCTCTCCATGGTGACGTGTTTGCAAAGGACTAGTGTTTGATGCCTATTTTGTGGTGCAAAGTGCCTCGAAGTATGTGGTTGCAGACCCTCCCCTTCCATGCCTTGCACTTCCAAAGAAGGGTTACGTGAAGCATAAGATATTGGCTTAGATGACAAGAAATTATGGATCCAGAAAGGCCAAGGTTATTGATGCCAGCGTCAATGCCTCAGAAAATGTCATAAATAGGACATGTGTGGTAGCAGCATCTCGTAAAGAGATATGCTCTTTTTTGGATTTTATTTCAGGTAAGCCAATGGATTCATACGACAGACGCTTTACAGCTTTGTTGATTGGGTTTTGGACGCATGCGCT